ATGAAAATATATTTTCTACAAACTTTGTCAGCAACCCTGTTACCCTTCAAATTTTTCTAGGATGTCAAATAACTCAAAAGATTTTAGGATCTCCACTTCCCCAGAAAGACCTTGTTATTGGTTTCGATATCATTATCGGTATACCAGGTTTAAAGCTTAGTGAAAACGATATCAAGTTTGAAAGTTATTTTAGACCTTGAAAAAACTTTCCCAACCTCTTCACCTTAACCATTCAACCATATGTTTTTTAAGATTTCAAACACAAGTTTATTCACTTTTCATGTGCAAAAACTCATTCAGATTTCCTTCCAAAAATGTGATCACCCACTTTGGCAAAACCCAAAATTTTTCATTTTCCTTCCCTTCAAAAAGATGAAAATGCCAATCCTATAAAAGCTAGTCATTCAGGCATGAACCCAGATCATTTCAAGCAAGCAATCTAAGAATGCTCCCTTCTCCAGGCTCAAGGATTAATTGAACCAACCTCCTCTCCATGAGCGTGTGAAGCGTTTTATGTCAACAAACGTTCAGAACAAGTTCGTGAAAATTAAGATTGGTAATCAATTACAAGCCTCTTAACATTTTCCTTGCAGATGATAAGTTCCCTCTTTCAGACAAAAAAACTTTGTTCGTAAATCTAGCAAATGCAAAAGTCTTCTCAAAGTTTGATCTCAAAGCAGGATTTTGGCAACTAGGTATACATCCACAGGACAGATACAAAACGGCATTTTGCATTCCTCAACACCATTTCCAGTGGACCGTAATGCCTTTTGGATTAAAAGTTGCTCCTTCACTGTTCCAGAAAATCATGACCAAGATATTTGCTCTATTTCTTGATAATACCTTGATTTACATTGATGACATCTTACTATTTTCTCCTGATGACACCTCTCATGCACAGTTATTGGATAAGTTCTAGCGTATTGTTCAACAGTATGAGATAATGCTTTCAGAGAAAAAAATGATCATTGGTGCTACAGAAATTGATTTTCTAGGCATGCATCTCAAAGATGGTCAGTATATTACTCAACCTCATATTGCTCAGTCACTTATAGATTTTTCTGAAGCAAATCTCTCAAAAAAATAGATCCAACAATTTTTGACATAATCAATTACATGAATAAATTTCTCTCAGATATTACCCAGCTTACACATCCACTCAGACAGATGCTTAAAAAAGAACCCACGTGGTCTTAAGTCCAGACAAATGCAGTACAAGCCTTGAAGATAAAAGCAAAGTCACTTTCCACTTTAAAGATTCCATCAGATGGCAAAAGAATATTGCAGATCGATGCTAGTGAACAGTTCTGGTCAGTAATCCTTTTAGAAGAAAAAGATGGAACCAGACAAATCTGTGGTTACAAAAGCGAAAAATTCAAAGATTCAAAACTCCATTATCACTCTACACTAAAAGAGATTTTAGCTGTAAAGTATGGTATCCAAAGATTTGAATTTCACCTCATTGGATTTCACTTTCTTGTGAAATTGGATATGTCAGTCTTTGATCAGATGCTCAATTTTAAAAAGAAAAAAATATCAAATGCACAGTTACTCAGGCTATCACAGTGGTTCTCACAGTACTCCTTCACCATCGCACATATAAAAGGCAAAGACAACCTCATCCCAGACATGCTCACAAGACTTCCTTCGAAATCTCCTTCGAAACCTCCTTCAAACACCTTGCAGGTTATTCCAGTCATTTCCATAATGTACCCAACACCTTCTTCTTCACAAGCCTCTTCCTCAAATAACCCTCTTTTCCTCTCTTTTCAGAAACCTCACCTTGATGATGAATTTGATCTACCTGATGAATTCTTAACCTTTTCATAGAAAATCTTCCTCCAGAGTTACCCAGACTTCTTACCACTCAAACTCTTGACCAAAAAGCCTCACACCTCTTGCTCAAATATCAGTCCAAAACACTCAAAAAGTTTGGAGACACCTCTTTTCAATCTCTTGGTATACACCCTGATTATCCCTTTATCCATCCTTTTAAATTCTCTGAACCTCTTTGTTTCCCAAAAAAAATAGTTTGTTTTATGTGGTACCTTTATCACATTTACTATATTGCTATAGAATTCCCCTTTCCAAAGCTCAAAATCCCTTCTTCACCTTTTTCAGCAGTCAACCATCAACCCTACCAAACACCAGTTGGACCCCAGTCACCAACATCTCAAGTTTTTCTTCACCTGGTTCAGACCCATTCTCGTTTGGATCCAATGGATTGAAACCTATGAGAGATATACAAAAATTCTTTTTGATCCTCATATTGTTTTAATCTTTCACAGATCTTGTAGCTGTTTGACAAAAGACCCCCAGTATTTTCCTTATACAGTAATTTACAGCTTTAAAAGATATTCGCTGTTTGATTCTCAGTTTGATCACCCAATTGAATACATTAAATTTCAGAGACAAAATTTGTGAAATGAATCACAAGTTTCCCAAGCAAAATTGGCTCGAGCTCCAAGATGAAGTTCCATGGGGAAACTATCCTTCAGAATACACTTATCAGCTCAAAATTGATAAAAAGATTTATGAAACCTGCCTTGATGGTGATTGGACAAAACCTCTTTCTGAAACTACCAGATTTGAACTTGACCATGTAGGCCCAATAGATTGGAATCCTTACTGAAAACCTCTTGAAGTTATCCCACAAATGAAATGGCAAGATTCTCAAGACCCACTTGATGATTTTGATCTAGATCAATGGTTAGTCAACATCAGTTATGATTTCACACCAGGCGCAGACAATTCACACCTCAACCTCTCTCCAGAACACACTCAACATTCTTTCAAATGATGACACTCATGGTGCTTCCAGACAGAAGATTCCCTATTCCAGTCCAATATTGTATAATTATGCGTGATGCTCTAGAAGACTCCACAGAAGTTGATAATGATGCCTTCACATCAAAACAACCTTATGTCAAGTCTTCATCAACTTTATGTCTTAGTCAAGTCATAATGAGTCACTGTACCATAAGTGATGAGTCACTATACCATAATAATAAACCTTTGTACCATAGTTATGAGTCATTGTACCTTAGTTATGACTCACCATCCTTTAGCCTTATCCTAAGCCACTTGTAAAGTTGCTTTGTCCTAGTCTTATTTTATTAGGCTTCTATTCCTTTACTTTTTCCATGTATAAATAGAATGTTACTTCTCTAGGAAGTAATCATCCAACAAGAATTCCCCCTTCCAAAGCTCAAAACCCTTCTTCACCTTTTTCAGCAGTCAACCATCAACCCTACCAAACACCAGTTGGATCCCAGTCACCAACATCTCAAGTTTTTCTTCATCTGGTTCAGACCCATTCCCATTTAGATCCAATGGATTGAAACCTATGAGAGATATACAAAAGTTCTTCCTGATCCTCATATTATTTTAATCTTTCACAGATCTTGTAGCTGTTTGACAAAAAACCCACAGTATTTCCCTTATACAGTAATTTACAGCTTTAAAAGATATTCGTTGTTTGATTCTCAGTTTGATCACCCAGTTGAATACATTAAATTTCAGAGATAAAATTTGTGAAATGAATCACAAGTTTTCCAAGCAAAATTGGCTCGAGCTCCAAGATGAAGTTCCATGGGGAAACTATCCTTCAGAATACACTTATCAGCTCAAAATTGATAAAAAATTTTATGAAACCTGCCTTGATGGTGATTGGACAAAACTTCTTTCTGAAACTACCAGATTTGAACTTGACCATGCAGGCCCAGTAGATTGGAATCCTTACTAGAAACCTCCTGAAGTTATCCCACAAATGGAATGGCAAGATTCTCAAGACCCACTTGATGATTTTGATCCAGATCAATGGTTAGTCAACATCGGCTATGATTTCACAATAGGCGCAGATAATTCACACATCAACCTCTCTCCAGAACACACTCAACGTTCTCTCAAATGATGACACTCATGGTGCTTCCAGACAGAAGATTCCCTATTCCAAGTCCAATATTGTATAATTATGCGTGATGCTCCAAAAGACTCCATAGAAGTTGATAATGATGCTTTCACATCAAGACAACCTTATGTCAAGTCTTCATCAACTTTATGTCTTAGTTAAGTCATAATAAGTCATTGTACTTTAGTATGAGTCATAGTGATGAGTCATCGTACCATAAGTGATGAGTCATTATACCATAATAATGAACCTTTGTACCATAGTAATGAGTCATTGTACCTTAGTTATGACTCACAATCCTTTAGCCTTATCCTAAGCCACTTGTAAAGTTGCTTTGTCCTAGTCTTGTCTTATTAAGCTACTATTCCTTTACTTTTTTCATGTATAAATAGAATGTTACTTCTCTAGGAAGTAATCATCCAACAAGAATTGAAGAAAAATTGAAAATCCCTTGTAACAAAACCTTCCTTTATAAAATTTGTTTGGCTAAAAATCTCTCTTCTCTTTTGGTGCTTCCATCTTCCTTTTTCCATAGTTACATCTTTTAGCTTCATAACTTCTCTTCAAACTATTCAAAGTTTGTAGTGATACAAGTTAAGTATGCTCTGCAGTTGCCATATTATTATGGATCCTCTGCATCAGAAATTCTTGTTACTCTGTTAAACAGATCGTTGATCCCTTTCCCTCAGCCAAAGAAAAGTCATACCGCCCCAAGATTATACTAATAGTAAGTTACTATAGTAAAAGACATATCTCCATAAAAGTCAGGCCCCCAGTTCGACGTTAAAGCCAAGAAGACGCTAGAGTCTTGAACACCGGCTAGAATACATTGGTTATATGTCTGATCTATAGAAAGCTTATGGTTGGTATTATCTTGTCAAGTTTGATCGATCTACATGCTGTTGTCATAGTACCAGATAGTATTGTCAGAACTCTACCACTCGAAGAACCCGAAACTAAAGCCGTATCAGTTGCTAGAGCCTTGATCGTACTACTTGCCGCAGTGTATACCATCATGTCCTTATCCAATGAAATTCTCATAATAAGCATCTAATTTTCCTCGATATAAAGAAGCCCAAGGAAAATTATTAAGTCAAAAGCTTAAAAAGCAAAAGGGAAAGGAATCTGTTTCGCTTGTTATCGTCTTTGAGAGGAAGGAATCAGAGGGAAAGCAATGGCGGAAGAGGGACAAGTAATCAGCTGTCACACTGTTGCTTCGTGGAACGAGCAGCTCCAGACAGCAAACGCCTCCAAGAAACTGGTAAAAATCTGTTCTTTCTTTGCTTAGATTGTTTGGGACAGTGGGTTTTGTTGGCTTGTGTGGATTGTACCTTTTGTTCGTTTGAAATGGACTTTTTTTCCTGATTCGCCAAATAATTCGGTAAATTAATCGAACCCATTTTGGATTAAATAGTGAAATTGATAGTCAACTTGGTTTTATTTCAATGCAAAGTTTAGATTTTTGGCTAATTGTTTGCCGGGCTTGAGTTACTTCCCTATTCACCAACTTCTTATGGTTTTTATCCTATTTTTTAACGACTAGTCCAAAAGTAATATCATACTTGAGAGAAAATATATCCTTGGATAGGTGGTGGTGGATTTCACAGCTTCATGGTGCGGGCCATGCCGTATTATTACACCAGTCCTGGTAGAGCTTGCTAAGAAGCTGCCCAATGTTATATTCTTGAAGGTTGATGTGGATGAATTGAACGTAGGATCTCTTAACACAGTTTGTAATTTAGCTTTTGATAACATCTTAACTTGACTCAAGCAGAGAATAATAAGAAGCAATTATTCTCTTGTATCTTGCAGACAGTGGCTCAGGAATTTGGTGTACAGGCAATGCCAACTTTTATCTTTATGAAAGAGGGCAATATAGTTGACAAGGTTGTGGGTGCAAGGAAAGACGATTTGCAGCAGAAAATAGCATTTCATTCTTCCAACTTGGTGCAGAAAGCCTGAATCAACGTTCAATTGTACTCTTTTGAAGTCTGAAGTTGTTTCTGAAACTAGAATTTTACTTATGAATCTTATAAATATCTGTCTCTTGGATAGATACCAAATAATTTGCGGTTGCAGTTGTTTCTAAAACCTTCATAATTTTCTGCTACAATTAACAGTAGTGGAATAGCATTTAGACAATGGAACTGTGATGTCTTCTCCACCGATATCTTTACTATTTGCTAATTTTCTAATTCCCAGCTGCCTGACTTGTGACAATCACTCTGGCAATTTGGAGGTTTGAATGTCGCCGAGTAACTGCAAGTCATGCAGTCACCCTTTGCATAAGCCATCCAACTTCCTAAGCTTTGTCCATACTCTGCATATCCAAAGCAAATAGTGTATCATCTCCGGGGCCATTGAAACATGCCTGCAATATTCAAGCCAAGATTTAGTTTCTGACACAAACGAAGATCCAAAGTTATATGTCCCAACACCCCCCCCCAACCCAAAAAAATCCCCTTATCGATCCCCTTTCCATTTCCCTGCCCCATCAGTTTTTCTACCTTATACCATGTCATAGACTGCTGACTCCACGTAGTTAGTGAACCTTGGATCCATTCTATGGAGACACCAAATTCATCGATTCTCCTTTTAAGCCGACCTGTTTGAGAGTAACTATGAGAGCCCAACTTCCGGCAATAAAGCATTATTGAAACAGGTAAATCATAGTGTTTCAGATGAATGCAAGTTGTCAAACCTGGTTTGACCATTTCTGCCATGTCAAGTCTTTCCTTGGTCAAGGCCATGCAAGAAAACACCTAGAATTCCTGTTTGCCATATAGATTCAATTTAAAGTTCTGCATCAGTAGTCGAAAAACTCTACTGTATAGTGTTTTAAGTAGTGATGGCAATCCAACCCGTTTCCGACGGGTTTCGATCCGACCCGACACTATGAGATCGATTTTTTTTTTTTTTTTAAATTCAGGTTTCAGGTTGGGTAAAGTTAGGAAACAATCGGAATCGGATTTTAGATAAACCCGACCCGACTCGATATTATATAAAAAATTATTTTTTAATTAATTATTTAATTTTTTATTTATATATTTATATAATAATATTTTTAAATATTTATATTTAAAAAATAATATTTTATCAATTTCGGTCAATTAGGTCGAGTACGATTTATATAGTATTGGATCGAGATCGAATTCGAATATAAAAAAAAAAAAAAAAATTCGGGTAGGTTACTCATCCCCGAATCCGACCAGATGTCAACCCTAGTTTTAAGTTTAAAGTTTTGTATCGGTAGTTGAAAAACTTTACTATATAGTGCTTTGAGTTTAAAGTTTTGGGTGGGATAAGTTCAGTTCTGTCCCATCCTATTGGATCCATAAGGTAAAGGAATGGCCTGATTTCAAATTGTAAATTTGCTAGCTAACATTTGCATCCAGATAAGTACGACCAAGAGCAACTAACCGGTAATCCATCGGCAATGTGATTTGTTCCAGCTCGTAGATCACTTGTCCTGTAAACGTGAATCCCAGTTTTCCCTAGTCCCAAAGGCTGACCCTGTGATTGTATCATATGACTTAGTATGACTTAGAAAGCAGCCAACAAAATTCAGTGTGCAATCTTATAGGTTCGTGACCATTCCAAAAGACATAGGCGTCGTTGACATCCAAGCCTCCATCTTTAGCCTTCTTTATAAGATCCTCCCACATCTACACCATAAAAACGACCAAAAATTAAGTTCTTTTTATGTATTCAGGGGGAAACTAAAAAGAAAGACAGCCATCTCAGGGGTGCTTCTGGGATAATAAATGGAGCCGAATACGAGAATTCTCCTTTGTTCATCGACGAGAATAGCTTTCTTATCATACGTAACGCTGCAATGGATCAACTAAGAACACGCTAACTAGGCTATGAAGAACAAAATCAACAGCTTGAAAACAGAGCTAGTTTTCATTTCTCTTCAATAACAGTACCCACTTCAAGGAAACCAAACCACATCAACCACCAATCCACTCTAAGTTAAGAATCAAATCAAAGTTGCACCAACATAAAGTAGAAAACATCTCCAAAAGACTAGCTTTTGTGGAAATTAACCATGTCAACATCAATAATTGATTCAGGATTCTAACAACTAGTAGTCAAAACAAGCAGTGATTCCATATAAAAAATTTACAGCTTGGTGTATAACAAATTACGTATCAAACATCTATATGTTCATCAAATACTCAACAAAGTTTGCTTAACTTTACTCAAATCCCTCGTCATGAAGAGGGAAACACATCTTTCACAGCCGATGCGGCGGACAAGTAATTAAGAGTGTTTCTTAAAGTTTCCTTCTCTCTTTTTAACCTGGCTGCCGTATCTTCCAACTCCAGTAAAGCTTGTTGCTCTCTCGGAGCCCCTTCGAAAGTACTCCCAACAAAGAACGAAAACGGCGTTGGAAACAGGTTTCTCCTCAAATCCTGCGCTTCCTTTTCCGGTTTGCCATTAAGCCGATTTGATAACCGAATCACGTCTTTCATGTAACTCTCCACTTCATTAGCTAACCCTTCCAAATCTTCGTCGCCAGATGGTCGGTCTTCGAGCCAGTTGACTTCTGCAACGAGATATGGTTTCGTGCGGACGATGTTGGTGATACGGAACCGTTCCTGGCCTTTACATATGAGGAAGAAGCGGTCGTCGACGAGACGTTCGTGTTTGACGATTTCGCCGACGCAGCCAACGTCTGCAGTGCCGGAGACGGCGTCGGAGTAAATAACTCCGAAGCGAAGGTCGGTGTGGAGGAGTGTGTGCATCATAATGCGGTAACGGAACTCGAAGATCTGGAGAGGGAGGACAGCGCCGGGGAAGTGAACTAAAGGGAGAGGAAATACAGGGAGCTCTACGACGTCGTCAGGTTTAGGAGGATTGGTGTGGTGTTTCTCGCGGAAAGAGGAAGCCGAGCACCGGAGTAAGCTGAGGCCGTTGAATCGGCGCGATTGAGAGAGCGATGATGACTTCGAAAAGGACTTGAAATTAGGGTCTAAAAGAGAGGGATTGACAGCGTTGTGATTTATCGAAGGTTGGTGAGTGAGTAAGGAAGAAGAACGGTTAGGGATTAGCTGAAGGAGAGCCATTGAGGAAAGACCCGAAACTGTTTGAATTTTTGCTTAAGTGAAAAAAATAAGAAAAATAAACTAAAATAACGAGTACTTAGTAGAAAAAACAAAGGAAAATAATTGTTTGCTACTCCTAATCTCCTATCCTTTTTATGGTTTAATAATTTGGGAGAGCTTTTTTTTATTATTATTTTTAAAAGCTTGGGAAAATCTAGTGGTTTACAATGGAACGGATAATATAGTGGGGTAGCGAATTTGCGAATGTGGATTCGAGGAATCCCACCTGGGAGTTGGGTTATCTGGATTTTTGTGGCACGTGTGATAAATTTTTGACGTGAATTTTTTGCGTCGGACAATTGTGGTGGTGATGGTGGTGCATACCATGGCTGTCTGATGGATAATTTTCAATGCAAATGCAAAAAGAAAAATTTTTTTTTGATTCGGGTTGAATTTATCATTGGTATAAAATGGGGACAACACGAGCGAGCAATGGTTCCATCTACATGTAATTGATGGAGAAGAATTTTCAGCTTTATTGGGTCATATGTCATAATATTATCGATTCTAAAATGTTTTTTTGAAGATAGAGGCAATCTTTCTTTCAACTTGATAGAAACATAAAATGTTGTTCATTTTTAATTAATTTTATGATTCATGTATTTATATTTTATAAAATATTAAAAATTTATATATATTTATTTTAATTTTATATAAAAATTATATGTTATAATATATGTTGATATATATTTTATTAAATATATATATAATTATAATTATAATTTTAAATTATATTATTTATATATATTTTTTTAATATTATATTTATATCATATTATTATATTATATTTTAAATTATCATATCAACTATTCAATAATAAAATTTAAATCTTGTTTAGAAATTGCAAATGACGTAATCCAATAAATAAAGAAAATAATTTTTTTTATTAATTTAGATGCGATCTTTGAGAAAGCATTTTAAATGCATTGGACGTTTTGTTGACGGCCCAATTTTAATAAAACATCATTAAACTGGGCTTTTGAAACCTTACTTAAATGAGATAGCAAAAGGTAAAGGCTTTAACAAAGTTTGGGCTTTGGGAGAGCACGACGTTTTTCCTCGTGGTCCATCTGAAAGCAAAACAAGCACATGGCCGCCGCCATTGATTTTGGTTTATTGCACGGAGGCGATACTTTTGTTACCGTCGTATTTAGAGCACCACTTGCGGGTGTCAAATGATAAACTGGATTCAAGAGGACCGTTCATTTAGGAATCGGATACCCATGATTGTTATCACCGGTGACCACTAAAGTTTTGCGTCTCGTAATAAGCCTCTAATTTCCTATATAAAGGAATAGTGAACTCGCTCAAGGAATTAGAAAGCAATAGAAGGGAAGAAGAAAGAAAAGGAATCTGCTTTGCCCGTTTATCAGCTTATTGAGGAAGGAATCAAAGGGAAAAGAATGGCGAAAGAGGGACAAGTAATCAGCTGCCATACTGTTGATTCATGGAACGAGTAGCTTCAGTTGGCAAACGCGTCCAAGAAGCTGGTAAAAAATCTGTTCCTTCTTTGGATTAACTAAAAAAATTGATTGTTTTGGAAAATGGTTTTTGTTTGCTTGTCTGCTTTGTACCTTTGTTTGTTTGAAAAAGTTTTTTTCCCCTAACTCATCGATTTCTTATGCTGTTTTTATGATAGGCGGTGGTGGATTTCATAGCTTCATGGTGCGGGCCATGCCGTTTTATTACGCCAGTCCTGGTAGAGCTTGCTAAGAAGCTGCCCAATGTCATTTTCTTGAAGGTGGATGTGGATGAATTGAAGGTAGGATCTCTTAAGCCTTTGCTTAATACAGTTTGTAATTAGCATTCGATTTGTATTAACTTGATTCAAGCAGCAGTAAATTTCTTGATTTTATTTTGCAGACCGTGGCTCAGGATTGGGCTATCCATGCAATGCCAACTTTTATGTTTCTGAAAGAAGGCACCATAGTTGACAAGGTTGTGGGTGCAAGGAAAGATGAATTGCAGCAGAAAATAGCATTTCATTCTTCCAACTTGGTGCAGAAAGCCTGAATCAACGTTTAATTCTACTCTTTGAAGTCCGAAGTTGTTTCTGAAACTAGGATTTTACTTATGGATCTTATAAACATCTGTCTCTCTGATAGATACTAAATTATGTGTGCTTGTATTTCTATTTTGATACTTTCTGCTTCCGCCTTTGTTCCAATATGATAATACGAGATTAATCTTATGATAATATGAACATCACCCCAGTACCAAGAGCTCAACTGCTCCAATTTCAGATGATCACGAGATCCTGGCTGATTCTAAACAAGAATGATTCATTTCTTTAAAGCAACATTGTTGAAACAATATTGGTTCTTGCTTTGTTTTTTGAGAATGATTCTGGGGCTCCATCTCATTAGAAAGAGAACGGCCAAAAAATGGGACTTCAAACTCATATAAACCTGCTGGCCTTTCATCACCCATTATTTTACAGAGAGCAGATCCTGGCTGATTCTAAACAAGAATGATTCATTTCTTTAAAGCAACAGTGTTGAGCAACATTGTTTCTTGCTTTGCTTTTTGAGAATGATTCTGGTGCTCCCTCTCATTAGAAAGAGAACGGCCAAAAACTGGGACTTCAAACTCATATAAACCTGCTGGTCTTTCATCACCCATTATTTTACAGAGCATTCATCCATGCCAAATCTAAGGCAGAAATTGTTCTATTTGGGTATAGTACTGTACTTGCATTGGTGTTGTCTTTGAAACCCTAGATAAATAATTTATTATGATTATAAAATCATATAATAAGATCATATCATTAATATTTATTAATTCAAGCCAAATCAATATCAACCCAACAATCTCATCTGTTCACATAAAATATGTTCTTTTTATTATATAAAAAAAATGAACCTAAGCTCGCAGTCCAAAAAAAGCCAAAGAGTCCTGGTCAAGTAAGTTTTGCAGTTGAAAGGAATAAAACCTAATTGAGTTTAGCAATGGCCAAACCAATATATATATATATATATATATATATATATATATATATTAACAAGTTTGATGATTTCTTTCTTGATCTGTTTCCGGGCTTGAATTTCAATATTTCTATTACGGGAATATAATGGTTAAAAAAGTATAATATTTTTTTATTTTCTCAAAGTTTTTAATAGATAATTAAAAAGATCTTAATTATTTGTATCGACCTGAGGTTTGACATAATCAATGCCATTTCAGCTCGATTTTATTTTAATTATTTTTTTTCCTTTCAACTTACTTATAAATATGAAAACTTAAGCATCATAAAATTAGGTTCATCTCATTTATTTGTTTTTTTTTTTGCTTTCTTACTTTTTTCTTGACCTAATCTTAATTGATTTACATGTCAAAATGTAAACACAAATAACACTTCATGTCTTTATCTCTAACCGTTATTCCCTTTTGCATTTACAACAAAAATGAAACTCAACACCAACAATTTCAATGATAGAATCGAGAGTACAATTAATATGATAAAAGGCTATAGATTAAGCACCATTTTTGAGATTGAGAAATTGCCAAATGAAGGTGTGCAAGGCCACAAAACCAAATGTTCAAAGCATGGTTTTTGATACCCATAACGATCAGCTCGTTACAATTTATATGAACAGACTGACATGTCATCGATGGTTAGGTCTAATTGCATTGTTGGATGACTTTTTGTGGTGTGGTGATGAACGTTTGCATGCCTTATCTCTTTCATAAAATAATTGTAAGTTTGGAGGGAATTGTAGCACTGTATGTTAGGTCTTACGATAAAGGTCAAAGAAGGACTGTTAAGGGCAGCATGCAGCACTACTCCATAATGTCTCCATGGCCATTTACCATTCTATTCACTAATTGTGGAGGTCTTAAATCTGTCTTGGAAAGTTAAAAAATTTAGGAGGTGTTCTTTCGTTTGATTTAGTTAATGTTGAATTAAATTATTAAAATTAAATTAATTAATTAATTAATTTTATTTTGATTAGTTGAATTAAATTTATTAATTTCAAAAAAATTAACCGATTGAATTTAATTTGCTAAGTTGAATTAAAATTTTTGATTAATTGAATAATAAATATATTTAAATTAAATTATATTTTAAATTTCTAATTTATCATATTTTAAACAAAAAAATAAAATTATTTAACAAATATTCAAATACCAAAGTATTATCTTAAAATTTTAATAATTTATAAAATAAAATTATTAATTTTATGTATTTTTATTTTATATTTAGATTATTTTATATTTTGATTAAAATTTTGATTAATTTAGTTAATTTAATTTTTAAATTGAATTAAGCTAAAATCAAAATTTTTTAAAATTATTTTCATTAATTAACTAAAATTAATTTAATAATCAATTGATTAATCAAATTAAATCAATTCAATCAATTAATTCAATTGATTTCAAAATACAAACATCTTAAAAAAATTTATATGATTAAGGGTGAAATGGAGTAAAAAAAAAAAAAAGATTGATTAAAGACAAATTGTAAATAGTACGTAGTATCTATCATTGATCAACTAACGAGGTCCATTGGAACCAATCGGTCATATTGGCAGCAGAAATTATACCAATAGTAGATAGCATATATATTTGTGCGTATTTCTTTATTTTTACAATAAGTTGTTAGTTTAATTGGTTAAAATTATATTTTTTATAAAAAAAAATTATGAATTTAAATTTTATTGATGATTATTTATTAGGATCATCTCGAATATACTATTTATAATCACTTGTCTTAAGCTGTCAGATATAATATATCTTGATTTGATTTGAAAAACTAAGCAAATTATTTATTTCAAATTTTTTCTTATAAAAAAATATAATATATATATATTTTTGGGTCATTTTGCAATTCAACCCCATGCGTCCGTATTTATGTTCAAATCTTACTTTAATGTACCAACAACGGTCCAAACTAAACTAAGTGTTTAGATTAATTATATATATGTGTTTATTGAATATTTGGTGAGGCATGCAAAGTCTGCGTCATTAAATTAAATATTAAATCTAGTATGGGCCATTAAGTCAGCTTCGAATTTATTTTCCTCAAGGGTACATTATCCTTTTTTAAGTGTCCCAGATTAATTTTAATAATATAGATATTAATTAATAGTAACTCCTCAAGAATGAAATCCCCATCTGAAAATTGGCAAAATTCCTGCAAACCACCAACCACCACCCCACTAGTTTTTTTTTTTAATCCTTGTTATACCATGTATGGGAAAGGAATAATCA